TAGGAAGAAATGGATATCATTAGTTTGTTTAAAATTTTACCTTCCGGTCCACGCGGAAACGTGTTTGATAATCGTTGTAAACAAATTTGTAATTGAACATCCCATATTCTTAAAATTTTATCTTTCGAAAAGCTCAATAATTGTCCACGGCTCGCTATAAATTGGACGCATAAAACAGAACGCATGTGACCACGTAAAACCTGAAAAAAAGTTTTAGAGAATTTCTAAATAGAAACTATTTCAAGATAAGGTATGTACTCCATTTGGCTTTGACAACACATACGGATTCCATAAGCAAACTTGATAGTTTACACCAGCTGTTGCTGCAAGAAAAAACACGTTACTTCAAGTAGAGCTAACGATAGACATAAAAATGAATTACCGATAAGATTAAAATTTCTTGTATAATCAAATGAATTGAGTCCTTGACTAATTTCAACTGTACTACAGATTAAGACAAAATATTTTACGTTCACATCATAAAAATCTTGTGATTCATGAAAACTTACCGCTTCTCGCGTAACTGACGTATGCGAACAGAATAATTGCTAAAAAATAAGATTATTGACTTATATTTCATGAGAAAAAGATAATCTTATTTAATTTAGAATAACAAACTGTTGACGCAAGGGTAGATAAAAACTGAGAATATGTACAAGCTACCAATGTATGCAAGAGGCTAGGAAAAAAACGTAGACGAAAAATAAAATTATTATGCTGGACCGGTTGAAAGCAATACTCTAATGGCTTAGCTTAATGTATTGTTGTTAACGTTAAAAGTGCAATTGGAATATGCGAAACTGTGTTTAGTAAACAAAAATTTATGAAAAAATTGTGTAATCGTAACTCTTTGTCAATAGTGTGGACTAGTCGTGTATTAGTCGTTTACCTTCTTTCACGTCCAAAATCCGTTCTTGAAAAAAAGATTTTTAAATAATCAGTTTTTCTCTCATAGCCTATACAAACGTACATTTTAATTGTTGAACCAGCTCGCTCCAGCCAACCGACAACAAGTGCAGTTTTTGGATTTGTGGAACAACTTATAAAACATTCTAGATGTTCGATATATTGCACTGAAAGACACGATAAATACAGATCACTTTTAGAAAAAAAATAGATCGGATGAAAAAGAAAATAATTAGACCTTTTCTTGTCCATTCAGAATGTGCATCATAACATAGATATGAAGCATTTTTATAGTTTCCATTTGAAATATCCTCTAATTTCACCTTTGAGTGGGCTAATTAAAAGATACAAGAATTTCAAATATATATTAATTGACGTAAACATTTTTGTCATACGTGTTTCATTCGATGATGGTTGAGCTGGTCGTTCAAATAGAGCAATTTGAGCAGAGTTGAATAATATTGCGTGAACAGAACCCTTGACATCACCCCAGCTGAGAATAGCATCATTTAAATTTTCTTCATCTGACCTAAAAATTAAATAATTAATAATTAAACCTACAATAGATGATCAATAGTTCATTATCATGCGTACCAGTAGTCTAAACAGAACGGTGTTGCTTTCAAATCAACAATACGATAAACTAAACCAAATTCAAGTTTTGATGTAACCTCGTAGATAACTGTTAAAACAAGAATATATATATTGATCTGGAACATTCTTAAATATCGTAAGTTACACACTTATCTCTTTTGATGTATAAGCTACGGCAATTTTATTTAAATTGGGCATTAAAACAAAATAAGTTATCCATAAATCTCTGGCTTTACATGCTTCTGTACTTGTCTTAAAGGTTTTATACAGTTGCATTTCTTCATCGTAAATACATACACTTCCTTCCTACAAAAAAAACAACAACACTACAATTTCACCAAATGAGTATGATAAAAATTTAACAGAAATAACACATAAATGTACAGTCAGACAGATCATCTACGAACTCCGTATTAACAACGAGCGTCTAGTAGATACTGCCAACAGAAACATCTCATTAAATGAATGAATGAATTTATTCTTTGTAAAGAACACATAAAAGTTATAAGAAAGCTAAAGCTTGTTTATAACGCCAGATAAAATAAAAACTCACACTCACAGACACACAGCAAAAGTTTAGACAGTGGAAAGATGTTGTTTTAATACAGCTGTAAATGCTCACAGCGTATTCTGATGAACAGCAATACAAGGCAATTTGTTCCAGTTCTCTATAGTTTTTGGTACAAAAGAATTTGAAGCGGATCTTAGAGTGTAGTTCTTGCATTGAATCCGTTTGTTATGTGAGTTTTTCTCCGTTTGACGGATGGATGGACGACTGACAAGACTGCTATGAGAAAGAATACTGTAACTGTGGTAAAGTTCATACTTTCTATTGATTTAAATAAATAGATTTGTAAATTGTGAATAAATGTCTATTCACTCTGTGAAAGATTGAACGACGATAAGTCTTTAAATAGAAGACATAATAAAGATACTTATACAAGTGTCGCTTCTCTTCATTTTTTCAATAAAATATAGTTTTTATATAGTTGTTATGCTCCTTACAAATCGGACATACATTCGACTTTCAAATCTTTGTTACATCGATATTAGAACCCGAATTTTTCAGAATGACCAAATCTATTTTCGACGACCCAGTTTTATTGAACATCAAATGACCTGAGTTCACAAGTATGTACGACTGACAAACAGATATTGTTAGAGTGATGATGGTTTTCAATAGGAAACTGTGTGTGTGACATAAGTATTTTGTAATTTGTATGAAAACTTACTTTACTGATAGATAAATACCGGTTATAATGATCCATATGTTGAATTCTTTTAATAGAATCACGATGTGCACTAAAAATTAGACAAATCCAATAAGTAGGAAAGTTTTTTTCGAAAAACACATGAGTTCTTACTTCATAACTGATTTTAAACCTTTCCAATTTGGAACAGATGATGCTTTTTCTCTGTCGTCATTATCATATAATTTAAGCATAAGATAAGTGGCTAGTTTATCCCTGAAAAAAACTGAATTGGTTGTAACAAATGTAAATGAATAAAAACCTGGAAAATTTACCATGATACGACACCCTCTTTTGTTACGTCAATACACTCAAAAAGTTCTTCATACTAAATCAAACAGAAAAACGAAATGTACAGATAAACTAGAAGAATAATAATATTTTACTTACGTCTTTTTCAGTTCCTCTCTTCAATGTATTCTGTAAGAAACTGATAAACTGTTGTTTATTAAGAACATTATCTTCAAGCTAAAAAACCTGATATAATTTCTTCTTGAAGAAAACTTTTTAATAAATACGTACGAAACCATGTTCTCGTAATTCTTCTAAATCATCAGTATTGAGTAAATTTTCCAATTCAATTCGTTCTTCAATCACATCATCAGCACTAGAGATCAAAAACAGAATAAAGTCAGAGAAAATTAACTAATAAGCATCCTACTTTGAAAGTGCACTAGTTGTTTGTTGGCTTTGCTTTATTAATTTTGCTTGCGTCGGTGAAGTATTTGATGACTGTTTATCCATCATAATCGAGACACACTCTTATTCATGTTATATAAAATCTTCAAATAAATGTACTGAGTATAAATCTAAATAAAATTGATTTACTAATATTTCAGTTCTATTTTCCTAAAAAAGATCACCATATGTCTTTTGAAGCAATAAACCTTTATACTGTGGAATGGCGAATGAACACACTATGATTTCTTCTGAAGTTTTATCTCTTTATCTCTTACATTAAAAGTTCAGTTGCTCTTAGTCAATTTAACCGTGTTATTTGATTTCTTTTAGCTTGAGTCGTTGTTCAGTTCAGTTTATTCTGGCATAGCCAAGGATACATGAAAAAGCTTTGCTAATGCAAAAGTTTGTAACAAAAGAGTCTGCGTTTGATTAAGAATCTAGGCAAATAACTTTGTCCACATGCTCATAGAGGAAAAAGAGAAGGGACAAACAAAAGTAAAGAAGAAGACATATCACCGGAACAAAAAAAATAAAGTTGGTTTAGAGTTGCTGAAAAGTGATTTTTCGTATTCATCACACTCGATAACCCAGAAGATTTTCTATTTTTGGCCCGGGGTACTTCCGAAAGTTTAAGAAAAAGTTTGAAACAAAATGGCGCAAAAAGTTTTCCATGGGAAAATAATATTAATTTGAAAACTTTTCCTAAACTTTCGGAAGTACCTCGGGCCAAAAACAGAAAATCTTCTGGGTTATCGAGTGTGCTGAATACGAAAAAGCACTTTTCAGCAACTCTAGATCAACTTAATTTTTTTTCCGGTGATATGGTTATCGTAGGTCACCGATCTTTGATGGCTCTCGCTTTTCGTGAATAAAAACATCTTAGTCAGTCTTTTTTGAATTATCAAAAGTGTTTTTGATAAATATTGTAAACACATTCAAAGATATATAACAGCATCCGATGATTTGAAGAATAATTATATAATTAAGTTCCTCATCTACTGTGCACCCTCGATTTTTGACATCTAGTAAAATAGCATTCATTTCTCTTTTCGTTACTATAACATCGATGGTTGCACATATGTGAAAACATGTATGCAGTTACTCTCTCTCTCCTTAAGTAATATATGAGTTGGTCTAAATTTTTCTTAGAATGGAATAAATCTTAGTGGTTTAAAACTGAAGATCCGAGCGGATATATAGGCCACGAGATTGTCGCTGCATTTATTGGCTGATCGAGGGCTAGTGTTACATTGAAGATGGTCCGGGTTTTACCATTACGCAGCTACAGGAAAAAGAACACAAGAAAGAGAATGGGTCAAGTGTATATCAGTGAACATAAGTCATGGATACAATATGACACAGCAATTCTCGGAGCTGATGTATAGATTTTAAAGATGTTAAAAGAGTTCTCATCATTATTTTAATAATTTCATATTGAATTAGGTAATAGCAATATTTCTATGCCGTTATATATTTAAGCATTTTTTTCCATTTTATTTAGCAGTCTTATTGCTGGCGAAAAGATGTTACTAAAGAACAAGCATTTTATTGGACAAGTTCCCTTGAATGACGATATCCATTCCGTCTCATTATATTGTTTTCGACATTTTTTATTACATCTTAATATTGGACCATTTGTTTTCTTTTATTTAACATGGTTTGCTATTTGGACATATCATTTTGGTTTATCTCAATATCCAGAATTGGGCGTCATTATTACTGTCATAATAGCAATCTTTCATGTTATCACATGTTTGTTTTGTTACTGGTTTGTCGAAGTTCGAGCATTTATGCAATGTTATCCAGTAAGTTCATCTTTTTTTCTGTCGCACATTATAGAGGGTCATCAACCATTCTATTTTAGGAAAGAATGCCATCAAGAGCTGAAGTTGTGGTAGTAAAACCAACGGCGAATAATGGCTACCCAGAAATGGTCCCATTACGTCATGGGCCGGTGCGTTATACGACAACTTCTAAATGAGTGTTGTAAAATGTTTAGCTTTTTCTGCTTTCAGGATCCTCATACTCACAAACCGCAAGCGTGGTTTATATTTCAAAAATCTCGTTATATCTACGATGAAAGTGAAAAAAAAACATTTCAGACAATCGATTATCCGTTATCAAATTCGTTTCATACGTATTTACAATCAAAAGGACTACAAAACGATGAAATCAGTCAAGCAACATGGAATTTTGGTTCGAATAAGTTAGTAAAGTAGTTGTTTTTCTTTGTTAGAACAAAATATAACCAATATCATTCTATTTAGAATGGTTATTGATATTCCAAAATTTATTGATTTATTCATTGAACGTGCTACAGCTCCATTTTTTGTTTTTCAAGTATTTTGTGTGCTATTATGGTGCCTAGACGAATATTGGTAAGTACAGTTCTCCTTTTGAAACACTTATATTGTAGTTCTATGATGACATCAACGACGGTCTTCTGATTAAATAATGTGAAATGACAAAAACGTTGCTGAGAACTATGAATTTTCTGCTATTTATCTTAAACTTAAAGTAGCACATAAGTAGAATTTTGTCACATCGCGCGTTAATGTGTGACAGATGCGAATAAATGTGCCAGAATGATACGACGAACGTTATAAAGATTATTTACTTTCTTTTGTTGAGTAAATAAATAATAAATCGACCGATATCAAAATACACCCATTTCATCTTATGAATTTAATAGTTTTTCTCTTCTTTCCTTTAGGTACTACAGTTTACTGACGTTGTTTATGTTAATAACATTTGAAGTAACATTAGTTCAACAACAAAAACGTAATATGGAAACAATTCGGACAATGGGTAATCAGCCGTATAAAATTTCCGTTTATAGACAACGAAAATGGATTAAAATCGATACGACGGAGATTTTACCGGGAGATATTTGTTCGGTATTGCGAACAAATGATAATAATCCATTACCATGTGATATGCTACTATTAAGAGGACAATGTATTGTTGATGAATCAATGTTGACTGGAGAATCTATACCTCAAATGAAGGTATGTAATAGAATAATCGCCAGATTATGTTTCCTTCGACTAATGATTATTTTTATTGACGTACTGAAGAATACGCATCGCATTTTACGTTATGACAACAAAATGTGATATCAGATTATGCTCTAAATGAGAGCAAGATTATAATCCAAGAGTTTACTAGCCCGTCGTAACTTTTATATTAAATCTGTTTATTTATTGTTATAGGAACCTATTGAGAATGTCGATGAAAATATGGTGTTCGATTTTGAGCGTCATGGAAAACTTCATGTATTATCTGCCGGAACAAAAATTGTTCAACATACGCCACCAGCGAAAATGCAAGGTGGAATGAAATGTAAGCAATAGTTAAATTGTTATTCTCAGAAATCAGCTATTATCGTTGTGTTGTTTTAGCTCAAGATAATGGTTGTATAGCTTATGCATTACGTACTGGGTTTAGTACATCACAAGGAAAATTATTGAAAACGATACTTTATAGTGTTAAACGTGTGACAGCAAATAATTTCGAAACATTTTTATTTATTTTATTTTTACTTGTATTTGCAATTATTGCTGCTGTTTATGTTTGGACAGAAGGTAAAACGGCCTTTTCTTGGATTAGCTGAATGAAAAAGAAATCGTATGATGAAAAACATTTGTCTTGAAATTTAATGATATTTCGACAAGATTAGAGTCGCTGACGATTTCTTTTCATATATTTTAAATGATTTTCTGAGCGAGAGGGAGAAAGAGAGATCAACTCCAGTGATAATTTGTTATTTTAGGTACAAAAGATCCAAAACGTAATCGTTACAAATTATTTATTGAGTGTGCTTTAATCCTTACATCTGTTGTTCCACCTGAGCTGCCGATTGAACTATCATTAGCGGTGAACACATCATTAATTGCTTTAGTTAAACTATGTAAGTATTTGTGTTGGTGACAGTTTTGCATCAGACGACCTTCTACTTTTTAAAATTATGACGAAATGGTTTTATTTTTAACAATTTTAGTCATTTATTGTACAGAACCATTTCGAATACCATTTGCTGGTAAAGTGGATATATGTTGTTTTGACAAAACTGGAACATTGACAAGCGATGATCTAGTTGTTGAAGGTGTGGCAGGAATTGGGTAAGAATGTATTTATTTTCTAAAAGGAAAGATTAAAATATCTTGTTATAATAGTTCAGCTGATAGTCTCATGACAGGTAGAGGTCAAGTTCGGTATTTTCTGTTTTAAATGTTATGTTTGAAGCAGTTCTATGATGATACACACGACGGTCTTCTGATTAAAAGAATGAACGAAAAACATGAACTTTATTCTGAGAATTGCCTTTACAATGTTTTCTTACAATTGCAATGTAGGCTTTTTTGTCATAATTACTCAGTTTTTTACAATAGTAGAATAAAGTGAGAAAGATCTAATACGTTGAGAAAAAAGATAGACATGTACTGTACTATTGTCTGATAAACGTCTATCTGCATACTATTTCTCTTGTACATTTAAATCATTTCAGTTCGAAACTGAAGTGATATCGTTTGATTAAGCATTGCAAACTTCTAAAACCATGCACAGTTGTTTAAAATATATGCATTGGCTTCGCTAGTTTGCTAAATTATATCCGTAGAAAATATATAAGCATTTGACATTTGGGCCATGTGCTTCGATCATCTTGAACTATGGTACATTCTACCATCACTAATTTTAGCGATAAGAGGTGATTGATATATAGTCTGAAACAGTTAGATAAAATTTTTTATGTGAATGTTTTCTCCGTGTACGAAATATTTTTTCGTTTATGAAATTTGAGTACCATCTTACAACTTCTATTTGAAAGACTTAACTGCTTATAAGCTTATTTTGTTACTGATTTTTGCTTATATTAATTATTTGCTATAATATTTTCCTGAATTATTACCGGATAAGTTAATAATATTCATATTTCGTTATTTAAATATAATTCAAACAAATAAATTTTAAAAATTCCAAATTACTATTGAATAATAATTGTCTTTTCGAGAGATATCGAGTCTACTCTTTTCACTTTTACAACTAAGAATGTTCTTCTTCCTCTTAGATCGGATGATCCTGTTTCACTTTCATCACTAGACTCAATATCGCCTGTTAAACAAGTATTATTGACTTGTCATTCATTGGCTAATCTTGATGGTGATATCATTGGTGATCCGTTAGAAAAAGCAACATTAAATTCACTTGAATGGACAGTAACAAAAGGTAAATTTAAACTCAATAATCCTCAATAAAATAATGTCTGAATTTCTCCTGTTATTTAGGTGATACAGTTGTACCTTTGAAAGGTCGTTCAGGTCGATGGCAAATATTCCAACGGTATCATTTTTCCAGTGCGTTAAAACGAATGAGTGTTATTGCTGGACATACATTGCCAACAGGTGAAACAAGTTATATAGGTGCTGTCAAAGGAGCACCAGAAACATTAAAAGCAATGGTATGTAAAATACATTATTATTTTCATATCAGAGATCTACTGCAATTATGCTTGATGATTTTCTTCTTACTGAAGAAATATTGATGTAACAAATTTATACTCAAACACTGAACTGACATATTTGCAGTAAGATCGAATGAATTTTTTTCCATTTTGACTATTTTAGATATTTAATTAAAATAGTGAAAGATTTTCGGATTAAATATCTACGTACGAGTACTAAAGAATGCAAAGAAATGTTACTCTGTTTTTTGTTTATTAATATTCACATTTACGAGGAAAACTCTTTAAATGTCACTTTATTATGAATTATTTTTTTATAACGAACACAAATCGAATATCCGTTTGTTGTTCACACACAGTCTTTCAAAATCTCTACTCAAATTTAAAATTGCTAGAAATTCCTTACGAACTTTCGTCTAAATAAATTTTATTATTTTTCAAGAGAAAATCGCAGTGATAGTTAGGCGTTTGCGATATACTTATTTCATTAATAAGGTTTATTTCGTTCATCCTTACTGACATTGTAATTATATCTAGTGTCGAGTGAATGTTCTCAAATTTTATAAGTATTTTCGATGGATCATAAGCACAAATATATTNCTACTCAAATTTAAAATTGCTAGAAATTCCTTACGAACTTTCGTCTAAATAAATTTTATTATTTTTCAAGAGAAAATCGCAGTGATAGTTAGGCGTTTGCGATATACTTATTTCATTAATAAGGTTTATTTCGTTCATCCTTACTGACATTGTAATTATATCTAGTGTCGAGTGAATGTTCTCAAATTTTATAAGTATTTTCGATGGATCATAAGCACAAATATATTGAATTATTAGTTTATTTTCTGATTGTATTTGATGATGTCCTGTCGTTATAATATATCGCTACTATACCGTTTTTTGTTTAAATTTTAGCAGAAGCTAGCTCCGCTAAGTATCACAAAATAGACAGATAGTTTCTTTTTAATTTTCAAGTTTGATAAAGTTCACATCTCTTAATGTGTCACATATAGATAATGGGTTGAACAGAAAAAAATGACGCCACTTTGTAATTCATCCTTTGGATAATAATATCAACAAATGTGAAAACAGTCTACAACACAATTGGGTCATTATTTGTGTTTGGCGCCATTCCCTCCAAAGGAAGATATCTCTCAACTCTGTCATCCCTTACCCAAACGATGTAACCCATAGAAAGAAGTGCATTTTGTAGAGCTTGAAATTCTGTATCTTTTGATATAAAAACAATAATTTTTATAAGTCGGGACTTTGAGGAAGTCTTCAAAATAAAGTACCATCTCGTCGGTCAAAGATGTCTTTTTGCTGTTTTCCATTTTATAAAACAGTAACAAATAAGCATATAAGAAACAACACGCAGCTGTATACTACGAAAAATTCTGCGTCTTATAGACCTTGAATCAAATTTTTGCAAAATACTTAAGCGGGAAAAATTACATTTTAAATTTTTCTGATTTTGTAGTTGAGCAGTTGAGATCTTCATGGATTCGAGTATTTTTACTGTTGTGAAAGAACGGGACATGCTTACTTTTAAAACAACGTATGAATAAAATCTAGACACAATTCTCTATCTTCCTGACATAAAAATGAAATTTTTTGATCAAGTTTAACTTGAGGAACAATTTTGCAAAGTGGCGTCATTTTCTCTGCCCAATCCGTTATAAAGGGTGGACCAAAATTACTAAAACAAATTAACTACTAATCACTACTGAAACGTTCCAGTAATTTTGACTCGCTCTTTATACAATAGTTCATTAACATAAAGATTCTAGTATCGAAACAAAAATAACGTTTTTTGTTTTATAATGAATTATTTCTATGAATTTCTTCTCGACATCGGACATTTGATTACCTTCGATAACCCTTTGTTTACCATTGCTCGACCATGATAGCTAGGGACTTCTAAATTAGTATGATCATTGTTCTCACCGAATGCTGATCATCCATAAAATTTAGGCTTCTTTTCCTAGATGGTTTGTGAGATGTAACCGTTTCATTTCTTTCTCGTAAAATGCTAATAACTTCCGATCCAAGAGAGGTGAAAACTTTTTCTTTCTACCAAACTGTAGCCTAGACTCTCTTTTATTTATGGTATGAATTTGAAGTATTAGCTCTTAATATTTACTGAAATACAGCTATTTTACGACTGAGGGTTACTTTTGAAGTTTGCGCCTCTCTTCCAAAAAAATTCATAACTCAATCTAGAAATATTATCTCTACTTCAAAAATGCACCAGATACTCTAAAATATTTTTAGATTATTCACACAAAGTATGAGGGCTAACTATTGTATGGTTCGAGAAATTCATTGAAAATGAGCATCCATTATTGAAATATACATAGGTGTAGCAACCAAGGGTACCAAACTGTATCATCGTATCTTGATATCTTTTTTTGTTCGAGAGTTAATCGGAAATCCGGAAACTTAAAAAAAGCGTCTTGAATTCGAGACACTGCTAAACAAAGGGATTGTGAACAAGAAGAAAACAAGATCTTTCTGTTTAATTTCATGTTGATTAGCAAAACATAGAAATGAAAATATATTGTTAGAAAAGACTTTTTAATTGGCATTCCATTCAAAACATTATTTAGTTCTATTAGAGAAAATCCATACCAGTTTCGAAGAAATGAATTCTTAACAAATGACAGATGTTATATAATTTGTCCTATTTGACTATTTCTTTTTTTTAATGGCATTTGATGCTTATGATGAATTACATGCACCACACAGAGAACGAGTTTAATGAAGAAAAAATATAACTCTGAAATAACTGAAGCATTGAATACTAAAAAATTTATTCTAAAAAAAGATTTATTAAATCTGATATATTAACACATTTAGACTTGTTTTATTTACAGTTTAGAAAACCTCCAGAGAGATACGACGACATCTATTTACGTTTATCGCGACAAGGTGCACGAGTATTGGCATTGGGACATAAAAGTCTTGGTGTTCTTAGTTTTCAACAAGTATACTTTCCAACATAATATTCGTTTATTTTTATTTCTATTCATTATTTTTTGATTTAAAGGTTCGAGAGCAAACCCGTGATACAATTGAACAAGATTTAGAATTTTGTGGCTTTGTTGTCTTATCATGTCCATTGAAACCCGATTCAAAAGCAATGATCAAAGAACTTTTACATTCATCTCATCATGTAAGTCATTTTGTAGACAACACTTCATTCTAATAGTCTTAACTGTCTGACATGCTCTTTGGGAATATTGGTGTAACTACGATGATGCATGTTTGAATGCATGTTTAACTAAAGATACTTTGATTATATTATTTTTATTCTCTTTTAAATTTCGGTTTATATGACTTGCATAAATTAATCTTGTTTTTTCACTACTACCTACTAGTTTCTTATATATTTGGACAATAAGACCAATTTGTAGCAATGGAATTTGTTCTGGTTTGAAAAATTTAATTTCAAAATCGAGTGGAAAATCTTTCTGATCATGTAATTCAATCATGGCTATATGTTGGTAGAAGGTTAATTGTGAAAAAGTAGCAGGTGATGTTGTTTTTATGAAAGATTTTCGTGTTTGAATGTAATCAACGAGTTGTATTCGAATAATGTCATCGTGAGCTAATTTACATTGTTGATAGTCTTTGTTCGCACATTGAATTTTTCCTGAAATAATATTTTGACGAACTTCTTTGTCTGATGGTTTTGAACTTATTGAAGTTTTATCTGCATAATAGTTGTGTTTTATTGGACTTAATTTCGAGAACGATTGACGAATTTTTTTTGACAGTATGAAATGGGATTGTTGTTGTTGTTGTTGTTGTTGAGAAGTGACTGTTATATCAGGCAGATCATCGTCAGTTAATGCTAGTCTTTCAAGAGGATTTGTTGATTTTGGGATATTTGATGTATGACCTGATAATTCAAAATGAACAATAGAGTGATCTTCATATGTTTTACTCGTTGAAAAATTATATCTAATTTTTCAACTTTGTCTAATGAATTATTGCATAAATACAGGAAGCAAGGCATTTTTAAAGTTTTATTCTAAAAAAGTTACCAAACAAGCAAACGTTTGTCTCTTGCCTTCGATTCGTATTGTATGTTTTTTATTTGCTAATAAATTTTGTAAATTGGTTAATGAGAAATTTGTTGATCGTTTTCGATTAATGACAACTATTGTAGATTCACTTTGTGATGCTAAATTTGGTCTCCATTGTTCTCGTTCTTGTTCGCCATCTTCATTTAGTTGCTCTGGTGGTGGTGATTGACTTTTGCACAATGGTGAAGCAGTTACTGTTTTTTTTGTCAAATGTGCGTAACGTTTTCTTGTGGCAAATGGTCGTTGATAAGGCGCATTCTCTCCATTTGAATATTCAAGTTCACGTTTCAAAAATACATTATGTTGTCGATATGAATCACGTTGGATAATATTATAAATATGTTTGTTGTGATATTTATTTGATTCTAATTCATCATGTTTAGTTAATCGATCATTTTTTAAATTAATTCCTGTTGCTCGACCATAATATTTATCCACCTGCTCATTGACGCTCATTTTTCCTCAACATTTATGTAGAAAATTATTCAAAATAAATGCATATTAATAAATAAATACCTATTACATTCGATCTAACAGGCAAACTTTCATTGGCGCGTACTATCATGTGAGTTATCGCTCATGCTTCATGAATTTCAATTTATTAGGACTCGACTCTTCAGATTTTTTAATAATATGTGAACAGTGAAAACAAATTTTTTCGGTTGCATTGTCTGATAAGGACCGATAAGAATACATGTACAAAGTTTTAGATTATACTTAACAGTGTGCGCTTATCCTATTGCAGAGTTCGTTTTCGAAAAATTTATTAGTATAGAAAATAGCTTTCCCTTCTCCCTAAGTTTCAAGGTTAAATTTGAAAAACTTTTTTGTACACAAGTAGAAAAGTAAAGTCAAGATTGATTTATGAGATTGTTTTCAACGTAAATTTGTTTTATACCTACCGAAAAAATATTAATTTGTTCATATTTATCGATATTCAGCCTGTTTTCCAGAATAGGATTATCCTCTCTTCGTAATGCCCAAGATGAATTCGGAGCATTAATTTAAAGCGTTGGTAGAAATGATCTTGTTTTATATTACAATGTATTTCTTTTCGATACAATAATACTATAACACAAAAATATATTATATTGCGTTTACAAATGTGATATCACCAATTTCTTAGTTGTATCGTCTAACACCACCATTATGATGACGTCTTCTTCGAGGTGGAGGAGGTAGGACGGGAATATATGGTGATGGTGCTAAATATGCTGGTTGTAGACCAGGGTATCGTGGCACTGTTGAACCTGGCACCACCACTGATGAACCTGGCACCACCACTGATGAACCTGGTACTACCCCTGGTGACGCTGGGACCACCACTGATGAAGCTGGTCGGTTTGATGGAACTGGCCTGCGTGTTGGATGTATTTGTGTTGCATTTGGAATAACACTCGCATTTGGTATAATTGTCGATAGTACGGGTGTTATGTTTATCTGTCGTCTACCTGATGGAACATATCGGGGATGAGATCCACTACTCATTATTTCGTACTTATTAAACAGAGTGATTAAACTTAAACGTATGTCTAAAAGTAAATACAAGCAAACACTGTATAAATAGGCTACTTTTGTAATGCATCATTGATTCTCACGGTGTTGTTTCTGTTCGTTATATAATGAATTTGTTGATTCGGCGTTTGCGCCTGACGTAGGTGCGTCATGTTTTTAACTGTGACTCATACCAGTACCACTAGCGACTAACGATGATGTTTGCTGAACTAGCGCTTTGGAAAATGTTAAATAAGTTCTCTTTCTGAGTTATATGTTGGTGTGAGAAAACATTTTTTCTGTTTACAGCTAACAATGATAACGGGTGACAATCCATTGACTGCATGCCATGTGGCTAAGGAATTACGATTTACTCGAAAGCCATTACTTGTATTAACATCACCAACAAATATTGGTATGTCGAGGAAACGAAAGATTTCATTTTTTATTGTCTTTGCTTTTTCAGATGAAGAATGGATGTGGAAATCAGTAAATGAGGATATAACGCTTTCTATGTTACCTAATAACACCAAAGAATTTATTCGAACGTACGATCTGTGTGTGACAGGAGAGGTAATATTAATTTTGCTATTGCAAACAACAATTACTTTATGTTGGTGATCCTTTTTTCAGGGTTTATCACATTTAACATCATCGGTTAAGCCAACATTTTTAAATTCTATCATTTCATCGGTCAAAGTTTTCGCTCGTGTATCGCCAAAACAAAAAGTAAGTGTACCTTTAATCCAACGTAAATGGCAACGTATTATAAAATGTTTCACATTCAAGGAACAAGTAGTCATCAAACTGAACAATCTTGGCTACGTCACATTGATGTGTGGCGATGGTACCAATGATGTAGCTGCATTAAAACATGCTCATTGTGGTTAGTTTTCTACCATCTAAATCATGTAATATGTACAGAGTGCATATTGTACTATCTAGACTTCTTAAGTACTACTACTATCTCACACAGATCACCGAAAGTCGAAACGCCATAAAAAAGGGAACAATTTGTAACATTACATTACTCTGTCAAACGTAACTTATGAGCGTTTGTTTTTCTTAGGTGTCGCTCTATTGAGTGGTGTAGCTGCAAAACGTGTTGAACAACAAATTGTCGAGCCAATAGCCCCTATCTTACCACCAGTTCCTGCAGACGCATCCGCTCATGCTCAGCAACAAGCTAAAGTTCGTATTCAATACCGCTGCTGGTTAAACGTTGGAAACCTATTTCGTCATCATTTTTTTAGAAACGTATTGATGAACTTTATCGTCAAATGGATGAAACAGATCAAACGATCGTTCGCTTAGGAGATGCTAGTATTGCAGCTCCATTCACATCTCGTACATCGACAATACAGTGTGGTAATTATCTTTCTTAAATTTCTTGTGTTATAAAACTTATTTTATCTTTTCATGCTTTTAGTCTGTCACATTATAAAACAAGGACGCTGTACGTTGGTGACAACACTACAAATGTTCAAAATTTTAGCATTAAATGCCTTAATATTAGCGTATAGCTTGAGTGTATTATATTTGGATGGTATTAAGTTTAGTGATGGACAACATACTATGCAGGGATTGTTACTAGCTGGATGTTTTTTATTTATATCTCGTTCTAAAGTATGCATGATGGCAAAGTCTTATTGAAGTGTTTGACTTTTGGTTCTTCTTTTTAGCCGTTAAAAACATTAGCACGTGAACGACCATTACCAAATATTTTCAATTTTTACACGTTACTTACTGTTTTAACACAATTTGCTGTTCATTTAACATCACTCATGTATGTTGTGCGGCAAGCACACGATCGAATACCTCCAAAGTAAATAATTTAACTATTTTCATTCTAAGATATATTCATTGTGAGATAACGAATTGTATGATGTTTTGTATCTTCTAACAAAAAACATGATATTTCAATCTAAAGAACTGACCTTGTGTGTGCATCTTATGATTAAATATTTACTGGTTATAGATATCTAATTTTTGTTATAGAACTGAAGAATTTCCGAACCTTGAAGCAGAATTTTCACCCAATCTAGTCAATACAACTGTATATATTATGTCTTTAACACTTCAAGTAGCAACATTTGCAGTCAACTATCAGGTATAGTTTTTAATTCTCAATTCTGTTATACTGTCGAAAATTATTATCATTTTTCTTCTTAGGGTAAACCATTCATGGAAAGTTTACGTTCAAATAAACCATTACTATATAGTTTGATATTTTCATTTACACTTGTAATTAGTTTAATATTTAACTTATTACCTCAAGTTACGGAGCAATTTCAAATAGTTATTATACCAGATGACGTAAGTAAAAAGAGCAAAATTAATGTTAATCTGTTGTTGAAAAATAGTAGCATTTCCGTTATTTTAGCTGCGAATCATATTTTTCTACGTTGTTTTGGGCGATATAGTGACCGCTTACGTTATTGATCGCACATTAAACTATTTTCTTGGACAAGCAAAATTGAGACAATATTAAAAAATCTGCCTTTTTCTGTCATTTTCTTTGTTGTTGTTGTTGTTGGTTTTTTATATGTAAATGCAATCACTCATGAAGAATTTAATTGTTGATGCTTTTTTGTACCTTATTCTCGAAAAAAAATCTGCTTTTTCTGTGTCATTGGTATCTGTTAAAACAAGCGTTAAAAATAGATATAGAAGACGGCAACTTCAAACCTATCTATAGGGATTTCTTTTTACCCGTTCCTTTTTAAAGAATTTTGCTGTTTTTATGTGCTTCTTTTTTAGCTTTTCTGTTTTGTATTAATTCAGTATCTTTGCGTGCTTATTGTATAAAGTCTTCTTTTGTTGTTGTTGTTATTATTGTTTTCTTATTTTTTGTTTAGGATGTAATAAAAATATGCTAGTATATTGTGATGAGCATGCTATAGTTTTTGTTGCTAAGTAAGAATCAATCGAGGCTAACAGAGACTTTTTAACGATCAAATCAATAAAACGGTAGATTATGAGCAAAAATTTCTTGTGGTAATTGCAGTTCTTTGAAGCAAACGCTTAATTCATTGTTTTCGCTTGGAATCATAAATATTACACAATTATTTATTTATGAACAGTATCCATAACGAAAGGCGTAAGCATTACAAAATTTGTCAGATAGGGATAGCTGCTAGCAGTTTTTCTCGTATCAGATTTCTACATTCGAGGAGATTACCTGCTATATATAAGTTATATATGATTCAGTCAACAGTATGCTTTTCTTGACTCTGATTGTTTGTCTTGTTTTTATCATCTTCTATATTAATAAAAACAAGATGACTCTTGAAAGCCATAGGTATTCTCTTGCATAGCGTCCAATTAGAGATATTACATTAAAATTGTGATCAGAATATCGTCTTTTCAAACGAAATCTAGATTGAATAATAGACTGTTTAAAAACACGTATAACAAAAGCTGATCATTTATGAAAACAATATATTTGTTTTAGAAGGTTTTTTTTTGATTGATTCTCTTGTAAGCATAAAGCAGCTTTTCATTATAGATGCTTTTGAATAAAACAAGTATTTTTAAACAAACGTTATTAAAATCTATTGTTGATTATGTACGACAATCAAATGAAAAGCTGCCACCGGAGTGTGACCATGTACTTTCGGAACAATTAATACCAACATTGGATGAAAAGCATTGTGAATTAATGTCAGTAATTGAAAATCGTTCAAATGAGATAACAACAACTGAAGTAGCCTACGAACGTGAAACAACAAAACTTAGCGAAGACACTGTATATTCAACGCAGTTGTATGTAATATTTTTTCTCTTATTAGTAAAACTTTTTGAATGATGAATTAATTCATCTTTTGTCTTATTAGAATTGATCAACACAAACCACTTTTCGTATTACGTAACGAATTTAATCAACTAACATCAAAATCGGTGTCAAGTAATTTTTTAAAAGGATGCAAATGGTAGTCACATTTCATCTATAAAAAAAACACAGTAACGTTTTCTTGTCACTGTTCAGGAAATGTATAACTTGTGTAAATTTCTTACTTAGGTCACCTGACGGTTTATGTCTATTAACAAATAGTGATGATAAAACTCTACGTTTATTTGAAATACCAACAAATAATCTCAATGAGAATAATCATCAACAATTTAATGATTTAGTAATTATAATTTGTATTCTGTAATAACAGTTGTTGATTCTTGAGCATTTTTCTCATTTATTTCTCTCTATAGGATGCTGTTTTAAAATTAAGAGAACCGGAATTAATTTACGATTTCGTGTGGTATCCACGTATGAATTCGACTGATCCTGACTCGTGTTGGTAAGAAAACAAAGGTTATTTCGCTTTTGTAAATTATTCTTTTTTGCTTTCTTTAGTATATTTAGCACATGTGGTGATAATCCCGTACATTTATTTGATGCCTACACGGGCATTGTTCGTTGTTCATACAAGGCTTATGATCACTTGGTAAATCACATATCTAAAAGTGATATATTTCTCTCCTACAGTAAGGTAAACTGAAGTACCATCTCATTTTTTATTTTATTTTTTAGGATGAATTAATTGCAGCGCACTGTATCGCATTTGAACCAGATGGATTCAAAATGTTTTGTGGCTATAATAAATCAATACGTATATTCGACATTAATAGACCAGGACAATGTATTGAGGAGCGAAAAACGGCTGGTAACTATTCGTTTAATTATGTTGAGTGAGATTTATCGAATTATATGTCTACTTTAGAACGCACAAGTTCTGTTAAACAAACTGGAATTATATCGTGTATTGATTTTAGTCAAGAATTTCGAGGTTTATATGCGGCAGGCTCATATAATAAAAGCAGTATGAATTGATTTATTGTGTCAAAATCGCCGGTCTATTGTTTTTTTTCTTTGTCTAGTTGGTGTTTATTTCGAAGCTAAAGGCGATCCGCTGTGTATTTTACATGGACACAATGGTGGAATTACACATATTCGTTTTTCTCCTGATGGAAATCGTTTGTATACGGGTGCAAGAAAAGTAAATAGTTTGTTCGCAAGAAAGGTGATCTACATGTAAATGTTACGGTTATTTTTTAGGATAATATGATATTATGTTGGGATATTCGAAATCCTGGCGAATTATTGGCTACCTACGAACGTGTTGTATCAACAAATCAAAGAATTTATTTTGATTTTGATCCGTCTGTATTTCTTTTTGATCTGTTAGTCTATTATGTTTGACTAATTTACGTTATTCTCTCTAGAACCTTCTCAACACTTGTGTCGGGAAGTTCGACTGGACAAGTATCCATATGGGATTTGAAACAAGAGTTTGTATTACCTAAAATGAATTTTATAGCCCACAATGATTGCACAAATGGTATTAGGTATGTAGAGGTGAACAAGTTTTGCTTTTTTTCTACTAATTAACTATCATTTTTAGTATTCATCCAACTCTTCCACTATTGGCAACATCATCTGGTCAGCGAAAATTTGCTGGCGATATAACAACAATCGATGAAGACAATAACGATACTAATATTGATGATGAATTTAATATCAAAACTATTCCAAGAGAGAATTGTGTTAAAATTTGGGCTTTTCATCCATTATAATCTTTGACTGAATCTTGTTTTTTGTTTGAATTTTGTATTATAAATAAAAATAGTAGTACATAAGATCATATTTGACAGTACTTCAGACAATTTACATCATTTCGTTCTACACAGTAAAAATTTAATGTTTGTAAACTATTTATCGAATATACGGGGTTTATTACACGATCAAGCAATGGCTAATCGGATCAAAATGTATCGACCATATTTTCCACCTGAAACTTATTTCATTCAAATGTTCATTCAAAATTAAATCCAAATGTCAATTTTTAGAATGTTCGAATGTTGAAAAATGAAATGTTTAAAAAAAATGATAAAAATTTATTATACACATTAGAATTATCAAGTTTTGTAGTTGCCACAAAATAATAAAAAAAATTATAATAATAATGCCATCAAGAAGGCCATCCTAACAGCTTTGATCCGTTGGGACACAGAAGAAGGCCACGTCCTTCTATTCTGGGAGAAGCTGACCTTTTATATGAGAAAATTTGGATGAAATTTTTTTTCAAATTTCTTGTAAAAACACTTTAATTAATATAATTCATCCCGCTAATAAAGAGTATGACTTTTAAATTCATCAAATTTATCTGCACTACATGAACTTCTAGATAGTGTTACAAGATCATTTTATTTTGATGATGTAATTGTTTGAAAAAGTATATTTTTGTATTTATTTATATTCGACATCAGCATGATAAATTACACTAGTAAAACTGTTTTGAAAGAAAATTCGTTTGTTGAAACATGTTTTGTCGTAAAAATACATGTTTTCTGCTTAACAACCTTATGTTGATGTTGCTAGTGCTCTTATAATTAGCCATACATATAAGTCATAAAAAATATTTTTCGAAAAGGTCTCTAATCAAGCTCAAAAATAAAACAGATTGCTGATGATTCGTAAACAAAGTCTCTCAAAACTTTCATAAGTTGATCTTACTGTCAATTTGAAGCCATATAGAACACTAACGAGGGAACTATCCCAAGTGTTAATCACAGATGCTAGAGAGAGGTACCCCAATCGATAGAGCTCGACGAGCTGATTCTAGTGGCATAAAGCATTTTTCCCAATGTTTCTTGAAGACCCAGTTTTCTAGAAAACCAGTTTTTC